CGAGTTTTAAGCTGTAGTGCACCATGATTGCACCTGTGAATAGTCATTGAGTGCACCCCAGCCTGGGCAACATAGCAAGACCCTGTCTCTAAAGAACTACATACATACTGCCAGCTTGGTATTTAGGTTAGGAGACACAAATATATAAGGTGGGAGAGTTCATAAGGTACTCATGGATGATTCAGAGAACTACCTGACTTCTAGTGTTGAGGGTGTACAGGCTAGCTATTAGGACCTCCAAAGGCTTACCAACACCTAGAGCATTGAATTTATGTGCCTGAGTTTCGCATTCAGTGCCTTCAAAGAGCTGGCGCAACTCACCTATCCCAAAGAGACTTTCCACTTTTTTTTTAACAGCCTAAAACAAATGCTGCTGTCAAATTAGACCATTCCCATAGCATGCCCAGTACCTTCCAAGCAATTTACTAAGGCTTATTGAATCTCCCAGAATGGCCTTTCCACTCCATTAAAAGCCTTACCTTGTCTCTAAAGCATGGCTGAAATGCCCTTTTGTTTTCACAAGTCCTTTCTTGATTCTCTTGAACTCACAGTCATTTTATTTGCCACTCTCAAATTACTACAGGAATGGTCTAATGTTCTGGAAAGCTCCACAAGATACTTTATTAAATGAGTAAAGCATGATGGGAAATGGTGTACATAATATACCATCACTTAAGTTTAAAAAAGAATATGTAGACATGCATATATGTTTTGTACATTGTAGACTATCTCTGGAAGGATAAACAAGAAAATGTAACTGTGTTGTCCTCTAAAGAGGGAAACTAGATGTGTGGGCAGTTTAGTGGGAAGATTTATTTTTCACTCTATACCACTTTTTACGTTTTTAATTTTTACTATATGCATGTATAATCTCTTCCCCAAAGTGAGTACAAATTTAAGAAAGAATAACTGGTGGCATTGCTGCCTGGCAGGAGCAGGTAAAGGTATGCATATTGAGGGTGCAGCACGTGGCAGAATCCAGGCTGTTCTGTGTCATGGCCCATTTACAGGACAGAGGATGAACACAAAACACAAAACACAAACGCAGAACACAAAGAAAAACACAGACATACACACAGACGGTTGAATCAAGTAATATTACACAGGGTCAGTTTTGTTTTTATACTTTAAAATTTTAAAGTTAGTTCCTTGTACGTAACCGCCCAGGCATTGCAGCAATGGCCATAAATTCTGGAATACGTAGACTTAGGGAAGCAGATATCCCCTGGCTCAAGGTTTCCAGGTGGTTGCTCTAGGCGCTAGGCATAGATCATGGACCGAGATTAGCAAGGATGGGCAAGGCAAGTCATAGGGGGCATTTCTCATCCCCAGCTTTTCTTAGGGTGATCCCCTAAGATTTTCGGCTGAACCCCGGCGGCTGTGCATGGCTTAGGTTGCCCCTCCCTTGAGGGGTCTTACCCGTCATTGACTAACCAGCCATCTTATGGGGGGTACGCAGCAATCACAGGAACAATGTGTTTATCATGTGGCCTCCAGACCCCCAATGCTGTGGGGCGGGGTAGCTCTTGCTTACTTGCAACTCAGGTCCTTTGTTATGCCTCTAGGCAATACCTTGTTTTTGTTATGCCTCAAGGCAACAGGAGCCTTGTCTAGAACATATTACTTTAAATGCTCTGGGCAGAGCACGTACATTACTAAATTTAATTCTTAAACTAGGAAAATAAATGTCAGTCCCCTACAGTTCTCTACGTGCTGTTCTTGAATGTTCTTTCCTAGAGCAATGCCATGAGGGGAATAACATAAATTATTCAAGGATTCATACCTAATGTGAAGTGGAAACAGTGGTGTGCTGGTAAATTTTTTAACAACCGGAACCAAGTGTATATTCAACACAACTGTTGATTGATACTTTTGTTTGTGATGACAAATCAGATAGGAATGAAATGTTGTAGACACGTGTTAGAACTTCACTTGTTCCATTAGTGCCATGAGCCATCTCTGCTGAATTGCATGAGAGTTTCTGGATACTGAAAGAATGTTGTCTCCAATTTTTTCTGCTATTTACAATGTAACAGTGATAGACATGACACACTTTTGTGTTTAATCTGCACTATTCACATTTTCTCCATTGCTTTTAAGGTTTACTCCATCAACAAAACAATGCATCCAGTCCCAACTTATAATATTTGTCTACTTTTACAGCTTAAATACTCCCACTGTAGCTAATTTTGAGCTGCCAGCTCATAGCATGCAGTGTGGGGAAGAGAAGCACAATAACATGCCTGGATGTAGGATTTGCATCCCAGAAGCACAACAGGTGTAAGTCACCTCAAGAGCATGGATAATAGTAATAGAATTGGGAAATGATGATTTTTGAATATGTATTGTCTTTGTTTTAATACAATTTCTTTATTTGTAAGTTATAGAATTTACTTTTTAATAAAGTCCATGTTTAACAATCAGCTTGCAAAATTCCTCAAAATTTAACCATTGTCTCTCACAAGCCAGTACAGATCAGGTCTCCTTGGAAGGAACAGTAGTGAAGCCAGCTCTTTCTGATGTCATAACCTGGACTTTTGGCCATTCTGCCACATTCTTCCATTTACTAAACAGTCATTACACCCAGGCCGGGGCCAGGCATGATGCCTCTGACTAGAAAGCTTATACTGTCGCCACTACTCTAAGCTGCCTACCATTGATTCACAGAAGTCATTATCTGGGGAGTGTGAGGAAACTGCAACCTCTTCATTGGGGCTAATTTTATCCCTTGTCTTAGCTACAAAGATACCAGGTTACCAAGAATAAAGCTAAGTATATAAGCAGCACACCCTCTGTTGGCCTCTTCCCATGGAGATACTCATGAACTGAGAACGCTCGTTGAGGCAAGTGGCTGGGAGGGTGAGTCAGAGAGAGAAGCTCAGAGCTCTTAAAAGACACAAACCAACAGGTCAGCCTCCTATTAACAAGGAAAGAGGTGAAAAAATTACAATATTTACTGTGTTTATATTTTTCTTTTTTTAGAGGTATTCTACTTAAGAGACCTAGCATGGGAATGGATCCTTCCATCCTGGCTGTGTTCTGTCTGCCTATAGGAGCCATTTACATTGTAATTGTGAAATTGTATTTGACACTATGGACTATTTTACAAATTTTTATCTGTGGTGCTAATGATGTTTTCTCATTGATGATTGGATTTTAAAAATTCTGATGAAAATTTTATACATGATCTATTATGTCTTTAAAAGTCAAGAATGCAGATAGGATGCATGATTCAGCTGTTATGAAATCAGGTCCTAGGATCAACTAATTGGCTCCAATGCCTATAATCAGTGTGCTCAGGCAGCTTAAGTCTCCAGATCTCAACCTGGCTTCTACTCCACGGAGCAGTTGGGAGAATGAAATGAAATAGCACATGCACACCTTTTAACACAGTCTCAGACTCATACACACTACACTGATTATTAGCTACTAGGTCTCAAGGGTAAGCCTTTGAAAATGTAGAATCTGAAAGTACAGAACTAATAATTTCTTTATACCTAAGATTCTGTTAAGAGTGTGTTTGTCCAAATCTCATTTGAGGAGGAGCTATATGATCACTGGGATCATCATCACATGGTCTGTCTGGAATAAGATATCCTTCATTACCACCTTTGTCTTTGAAAACCTACATAATTGATTCCCTATTTAATTTTGTTGATAAAATTTACTTCTAGGCCGGGTGTGGTGGCTCACGCCTGTAATCCTAGCACTCTGGGAGGCTTAGGCGGGCGGATTGCTCGAGGTCAGGCGTTCAAAACCAGCCTGAGCTAGAGCGAGACCCTGTCTCTACTATAAATAGAAATTAATTGGCCAACTAAGATATATATAGAAAAAATTAGCCGGGCATGGTGGCACGTGCCTGTAGTCCCAGTCACTCGGGAGGCTGAGGCAGAAGGATTGCTTGAGCCCAGGAGATTGAGGTTGCTGTGAGCTAGGCTGACTCCACAGCACTCACTCTAGCCTGGGCAACAAAGCAAGACTCTGTCTCAAAAAAAAATAAAAAAATAAAAAAATTTACTTCTATTTATTGTCACTCAATTTGGAGCTATGCATTTGCTATTAGCAGATAAAGTACATGAGAGATGTTGCTCTTTCTTTTTCCTTGTATTTCATCCCTTTTGTATGAGCATGTGGCTCACCAGATCAATATTCATTTTTTTGGCAAATATTTACTGAGTGCTCACTCTGTGCTGGCTTCATGCTAGGTGTTAAAGAAAATCACGTAAAGGTTGCCAGGCTCAGCATATGGAAATATTCTAGCAGATATTATCATACTGGAAAAATATTTGTTGTTTATTTGAAATTCAAATCTATCTAGGGATCTGCTTTTTATCGGGCAACCCTAAATTATGGTCTTTGTCTTCATATGGTTTTTCACCGAGTGAGGGACACAGTCAAGTATCCCTCAGGTGATCAGGACACAGTGGCGATATGCAAGTCCAAGATGCAGAAAGGTATCCCAGGAAAAGTGGCATCTAAGCTGAGAGCTGAGATGTGAAGGTGAGTGGAGTTAGCCAAGAAAGTGTTGTGCCTGGGAAAATGCTTCAGACAAAGGGATCAGCCTTTTGGAAGGTTCTGAGGTAGAAAGCAGCTTTGATGATGTTGTCAGCTGCTGCATAATTGAACAACAATTCACATAAGGGGAAGAGCAGGTCCCTAGCGAGGCTGGGCTGCCCACCAGTGCCTGATTTCTCACATTTCCACTCTATTCTCCTTGCCCTCTTTTCCTTTGACTTTAGCTAGCCAGAGTGCATTTTAATTATTTGCATTAAAAAACAGTTTTAACTAAGAAAAGTAAACACTCAGTACATCCTGAACGAGTGTGCATAATTGGAAGTTCTGATCTTTTGTGGGGAGGGGTAGTTAGATTATAAAGTTGACTTATGATGAGAAAAATCTCATATTGTCTAAGTTTCCCTTGAACAATCTTTAGATCGTCCACCAACAGTTACGCTGAGAGGCATTCAGAAGGGCGTCAGGCCTGACCCCTGTTCTGCACGTCCCTGGGCATGGACTCCACAGCTGGAATGGCAGGGGCCTGGCAGCTCTCATTCATGCTCCTTCTGTCAGCTCACCATGTATTGCTGAATTTGTGTGGGATGTATTTGAGTTGAATGGGAATTCATTGAGAGTAAATAGATGAAGACTATTGGTGTGACCTCCCAGAGACAGAATGGACCTCCCCCCAAAAATATTTGGTTCTAATGGCAAGACTGCTGATGCCACACATGCACCAAGAGGAGATGAAGAGGTTTACGACTCACAGAATGTCGCTTTCTGGTGAAAGGAGGGAAAGCTACCACGTAGGTCCTAAAATGGCTTGAGAAAGCAGCGAAAGCACACTGCCTCAATTCTGACTGTGGGTAGGGGTAGGGCTGGGTGAGGGCTTCTGGGCACATCCAGGGCTGTGTGATTTGAATCCAGGGCGGGATCACCCAGGCTTTCTTATCAGCATGTCCAGATATGGGACAAGAGGGGAAAAGGGAGGACTGGGACATGAAAGCTATTCACAAACATCAAAAATGGAGTCAGACTCTTATTACAAAGACACTTTCTGGTATTTTATCTTTTCTGCTTCAGGTTGATCATAGTTTCAAGGATACTGTATGTTAGTGCATAACATTGCCCTAATCTCTAAATTAGATGTATCAAATGGGGTCTGGCAGGAAAGAGGTAGTATATGACAATAGGGTAATTTGAAGAGAGTTTAATAAAGGCATGATTAGCAAAAGTGTAGGTAGAGTATAAGAAAACAACACGGGATGAGTAATGAATGATATCCGGGGCTCCATTTAATTTCCACTCCTGATGGAGGAGGCAAAGGAGAGGTTGCCAGAACCCAGAGAGAGAGGGTGAGAAAAAGAGAGAGATCTGCTGGGAGTGGCTGTCTAACAGAAGCTATGCCTTTGGGTCAAGGAAATCAGCCACCTACAATGATCCCCTTAAGGAAGGCACCAAGGAGCTCATAAAAAATACCCTAAATCTCACTTCTCACTTTCTTTCCTCCCTCTGGTCTCCTGCCCCCCATTAGACAACCCAGCCAGAGGGCAGAGGGCAGGGCTGCTCACTGAAGCAGCCTGTAAAGTCTAGTTTCCTCAGCACAGAGCACTGTGTCCAGCTTAGGAAACTCCACTGGTTTTTCCCTCTGGCAACAGGGTGGAAGGTTGGTCAAAGCAATTGTTCCCCTGTCTCCCACTCTCCTCAAAAAGTCAGTAGGTCTTAGTATATAACATACTCAATTTCTGGCATTTTAAATGGGTAGTTTTCATGACATGTATGGCAGTATTTTGGGACATGTAAAGGAACATGCTTTGTGTTCTCATTCTCTCTCTTTCTTTTAAATTAATATTAGAAGTTCAAAGAAAAGAAGAGCCAGGACATGACAACATGCAAATCGATATGGTAATATGAGCCAGAGCCTTGAACACAGTGATAGCTCAATAAACGTTTACTTATCAAATGATCCATAGAATCACAGCAGAAAAAACTTCCCATGAGAAATTTCATGAGCAGGATGTAGTTGCAGAGATTGTCTTATAATAAGTAGCTTGTCTTTTCTATCTTGTCTACACCAAAGTTTAATTCCTTTGTCAAAGTATCCCATCTGTTGGCCACTCGCCCTCTGCTAATTAAATCCCGTATTTGGGAGCACATACACATAGCATAGGAGTCCTGAGGCTGACTGGCCATAAAGCAGTTGTTTGGTGTTATCAGCTTCTATTCCTCCTCTTCTCCTATGGAGTAAAAATTTAATGTCAGCACAAATTGAAAACAACACAGCAGCTTTTCAGAAATTTATTTTCCGTTCTAAAATGCATTTGCATTTTTAAATACTTATTTTTGGCCTTCGTTTTCATGCGATTTTGTTTATAGCACTAGAAATAGGGCAATGTGACTTTTTGTTCCTTTTATTACTCCAATCTGATGCCCAAAGGGATGAAGTCAAAATCATTAAGCAAATGGCAGAAAGCAATCAATGTTCCCAAATCAAAGGTCACATAATAAGGAAAGATGAAAGTGAAATACAGAAAATCACTCATTGGTTTGGCTGGAAAATCTTCAAATTTTCATAAATCTGATACAAGTAAAAAACATTGAAATGAGAACTATGGCTTTATTTGGCATTACTTGGTAACTGTGGCATTTCTATCGAGCAATGGACTGAGGCTGTTGATACATAGCCATTTTTGAAAACCTCTTTTGGTAAAAAATTTAAAAAAATATTAGGAAAAAACAGGTTGTGCATGAACTTTCCTTGCAGGTTGGCCAGCAAAGATTCCCCAAATTGTGAAAGCTTTGGGCTTTTGCCCTAGCACATGTTCAATGAAGCTACAATCAGTGGGAAAAGGAGCAATTTTCTGAATAAACCATGGAGATGGGTTCTAGGAACAGAAATAAATATATCTCAAGGTGTGGCCTTGGAGACAGGAGCCTTCCTGCAATGTCAGGACAATGCACTTTCCCAGCTTCCAAGCTTAGCTTTCAAGACAGTGATGACAGGCCTTTTGGGTATGGATTTTCTTTCCCCCAAAGTCTGGCAAGCAACCTAACTAAATGAAGCCTCTCAGCGTGCTGATATTAACAGTACTCTATTAGTGTCAGATCAGAATTAAATCAATATATGTGGCAACGCCTTTTTCAGAGGCAGCTGTCACTTGAACATGTTGACACAAAATGTTTGTTTTCTGTTACATACATTTTGGAGTCTTTAAAAATTCCCTTAAGTAAAAGGCTGCACTGAGTGGAAAAACTGCAGCTGCACACCTCAAATACTAACTTAGTCTGGGAAATCTCATATGAGAAACACTTCTGTGTGGTGGCCGCTAGTGTATACAATCCTCTGATGCAGGTTGGAAGCAATGGTAAGACCAGTTGCAGCCTTTATTTGACTGTTCCTCAATAGTTTTTAAATTTTTTGTTGGTAGGGATTATTGATGGAAAAACTCTGGGCCCCCAAGTTACAAGTTTTGAAAGCATTCTACTCTTTCTACCTTATAAAAGTACATCTTCCCTGATTATTTAAGAAATTTGTAGTTATCATTTAAAACTTATTAGAAACATAAATTATGAACACATTTTGATGTTTTTCATCCATATATTCTTTTATTTTTTTAAAAGAAGATGAAGGTCCCTTGTATTTTGTTAATTAAAAAATAAATATGGCCGCGCCCGGTGGCTCATGCCTGTAGTCCTATAATTCTGGCACGCCGAGGCGGGAGGATCACCCAAGGTCAGGAGTTCCAAACCATCCTGAGGAAGAGCCAGACCCTGTCTCTATTAAAAATAGAAAGAAATTAATTGGCTAACTAAAAATATATATAGAAAAAATTAGCCGAGCATGGTGGCGCATGCCTGTAGTCCCAGCTACTTGGGAGACTGAGGCAGAAGGATTGCTTGAGCCCGGGAGTTAGAGGTTGCCATGAGCTAGGCTGACAACACCGCACTCTAGCCCTGGCAATAGAGTGAGACTCTGTTTCAATAACAAACAAAAAAATAGCTATGTTTCCTTCTCCTCCGGCTCTACATACATACGCGCACATACACACATGCAAAGAGCAAGGGCACATGCACAAACACAGTGCACACAAGCAGGGGCTGCTTAGATAGTACTGTTTTGGGTAAGTGTATGAAGCTGACGTCTGATCTGAGTTGTCTTTAGTGTGTTCTTCACCACAGCTGATTGTCAGTTTATGCAGAACAGGGGCCCATAACAAATTAACTATTGAGAACTACTAGGAAAGTTTCAGCTACTGAGCCCATCTTTTTGCTACTAAATGTGAAAGATACATTCTACTTAAATCTCCCAGTGCTGTTTTTAATGATGCACAATGCTATTGCTAACCTTAAAAAAAAAGTTGCCTTCCACCATTCACTTTACATGGCATCAAAACTTCAAGTGAAATTCTGGACATTGTAGGCAATGGCAAGAGAACATTATTTACCAATGGTGGAAACACCATTTGCAGATGTATTTAAAAACAATCTGTCTTTTTAGGGTATAATTATCATAAAATTCACCCAATTTAAGTGTATAGTGCAATGAACTTTGACAAATATCTGAGTCCATCAAAATACAGTATAGAAACATTTCCAGCACCCAAAAGCTTTCCTCAGGATTCTTTGCAGCCAATCCCCTCTCCCCACCCTCAAACTTTAACAACCATTCATCTACTTTATGTTACGATAGTTTTACCTTTTTAGAGTTTCATATAACTAAAATCAGAAAGTTAAAAAAAATTAACTCCCAATAGTCAGAGCCTATAACTTTAGTCAAGTGAATCTATTCTGCAAATTCAGAGGATTCAAATAACGGAGACACTATGCAGTACTTATAAATTGTGAGAGTCTCTCATAGTACTCTTGCTATAGTCTCCTAAGAGCTTTCTTGAATTCTCATTTCTCCTTTTTTCTCCATCCTGATCCTATAGAAACTATATCCTGAATGGAGGAAGCTGTCACAAGATTTGGTGTAGATTTATCCAGAAAAGGGAGAAAAACTGTAGCAAGCTATTTTGTTTACCTTTTCTCCTCCTCTTCTTCTTCTTCTTCCTCCTCTTCCTCTTCCTCTTCCTCTCCTTCTCCCTCTCCCTCTCCCTCTCCTTCTCCTTCTCCCTCTCCCTCTCCCTCTCCCTTTCCCTCTCCCTCTCCTTTCCCTCTCCCTCTCCTTCTCCTTCTCCTTCTCCTTCTCCTTCTCCTTCTCCTTCTCCTTCTCCTTCTTCTTCTTCTTCTTCTCCTCCAGATCTTGCTTTGTCACTCTGGCTAGAGTGCAGTGGTGTTGTCATAGCTCATTGCAACCTCAAACTTCTGAGCTCAAGTGATCCTTCTGCCTCAGCCTCTTGAGTAGCTGGGACTACAGGCACACACCACCACGCCTGGCTAATTTTTCTATTTTTGGGAAAGGTGGGGTCTCACTCTTGCTCAGGCACTAACTTCTCCTGCCCCTGCCTCTCAGAGTGCTAGGATTGCAGGCGTTGAGCGGGTTCCCTGCCTGTCGTTTCTGTTCTAACATTTAGGAGGAAAGACCTAAAAGTTATGTGAAGGATCAGGAAAAAGCAGGAGACATAGGATCTAAAAACCAGAGAGATATACTTATACCTAGTTGAAAGGATAACTAGAGAAATAGGAAGTGTTGATTGATATCAGTTGACTGTAGAAGACAGGGCATAAATCTTTCTGTAACTATTCTGTTTTCCTTAGATTATCTTGAATAGATGCTTTAAGTACAGGTAATATGTAAACACTGTTAATTAGTATTTTGCCAATATTTATACTATTCTGTAAATCACCACATTTTTGTTGAAAAAATTGAAAATTAGTCTGGATATAGGTTTTTTTAATGATTAATTAGATTTTTGAACATTATTTTATGTTTCTTTTTATAACATGAAGTTGGTTTTTATTTTTATTTCATCATATTACAGGGATACAAATGTTTAGGTTATGTATATCGCCCTTGCCCCACTCGAGTCAGAGCTTCAAGTGTGAATACACCCGATCTCATTTGTATATAATTTTAATCTTACCTCTCACGCCTAGACCTACAGATGACCTAAAATGTCTTCACTGACACCTGCTGGTAGGCTCTGGAATTGCAGAAAGAGTGGCTAAGAAGTGTTACCTCTCCTGGAAGACATCGCTTGGAAATTCTAATCCACTTCCACAAGCACAATTATTGTAAGCGTCTTTCACCATTTGGATTTCCACAGCATGCAGGATTAGCTGAGCATGCCTTTATTGTTATTAAAGACATGTACTGGTTGTTTTCAATAGCTTTTCAGTATTTAGTCTGTGCCACAACTAGATGCTAGGGATATAAAGTCTCTTGTTATTAAAGTATTAGATTTGAGGAATGCAGAGATAAAGCACACAATGAGGGAACTCATATTCTATGATGTGGAGGACAGACAACTATAGTACAATGTGTTCTTTCTTATGACATAGGTAGGTATAAACTGACCCTTTAAATTAACTCAATGAACAAATACTGAATGCCTATTGGTGTCTTGCACTACTCTAGGAGCTTCAGAATGAAGAGCCCTTTCATGTGTAATAGATGGTGGGAAAGGAAAAGTTGAAAGTCTGCTGGGAGCATTTAAAATGGATATTGAATCGGGATCTACAGCATCAGGAAGTCTGGCTGACAAAGGTGACATGTAAGCTAATATTTGAAGGATGGACAAAAGTTAGGGCTGGGGATAAGGCATAGAGATGAGCATATGCAAAGGTCTTGAATCATGGATCCCTGAGGGGCTGAGAGAAATTCCATGAATGGATACAGAGTCAGAGGTTGGCAAACTTGTTCTGTTAAGGACCAGATAGTGAACATTCGGGGTTTGTGGGCCAATGTGTAGGCAATATCCTAAACTCTGCATGCAGCTGTTCTTGAAGAAAAGCTAATTGTCTTGCTTTTTTGTTTCTTTTTATATTTTACATTTAAAAATGGAAAAACTATTCTTAGCTTGTAAACCACACAAAAACAGGCAGTTGGCTGGATTTGGCCCGTGGACCATAGTTTGCTGACCTTGAGCACAGAGTCTGGGCTTAGTGTGGATATGAGAGAATAAGACATGAACGTTAAAAATGGCCTGCAGGTGCTATGAGGCTAAAGAATTCAGATTCTATCCGGAGGGCAATGGGGGATCATTAAAAGGGCTGGTTTGGGAAAACCGATATTTTGTATTTGGACTGTGGAAGACCATCGGGACAATGTGCTGTGTGGGCAGAGACATTGGCTGTGGGACTGCCACAGGGACCTAGGTGCAATAAAGGCTCTATTTAGGGAGCTCAACAGTTGTTGGAGGGAATAGATTTGAAATGAAGCACAACTTCTAACACTTGGTGGTTGATTGAATGTGTGGACTAAAGGAGGAGAAATAAATTGTTTCTGGTTTGCATAAATGACATTGGGTCTTTCGCTGAGACTCAGCAGGAGATAGCTTAAGGGCAAAGCTAGTAAGCTCCATTTTTTAGTTTATTGAGTTTCAGGCCTTTAGAAGGCACCCAAAAAGAGATGCCCTGTAATAATGATAATAATAATTATAATCATAGGAAATATGTAGTGAGTCTTAACAAAGACTAAGCAGTATACTAAGTGCTTACTTGAATTAACTCATTTATTACTCACAACAAACTTATAGTTAGTTAGGTACTATAAATATTCCCATTTTATAGATGAGAAAACTGAGGCACAGAGAAAAACCCTGCCCAAACTGGAACATGTGCGTGCATGCGTGTGTGTGTGTGTGTGTGTGTGTGTGTGTGTGTGTATGACTGAAAAGATATTGGTTTTGGAGTTATCAGCATATAGACCTTGAATAAAGCTATGGGAGTTAATGAGAATACCCAGGGGTGGCCTATTGAGTCAGAAATAAAATGAGAGGGTCTGGGAGTAAATCACGAGGGACAACAGCATTTTAGGAAAGGAAGAGAAAGAGGGACCCTCATATCACCTAAGACTGAGCAGCTCATTAGGAGGTACAACCCAAGGAGGCAGGAAAGACACCATAAGAGCAGGATATCATGATATCAAGGGCGGGAGAGTTCACTAGAGACAAATGAAATGCTGCTAAGTGGGTAAGTTAGGAATAAAGGGGAATGTTTCCTTTAGAGTTAGCAATGTAGAGTTTATTAATGGCCCTGACAAAAGGAGTTTTGGTCAAGGTGGTAGGGTTAGAGTGCTACAGAATTTTAAGCAAGCAGTTAAGCCAGGAAGGACTTCTAGCTGGGAGAAATCAGATGGGGGAGAGGAGTAGAGATCCCAATGAGGTGATAGATCAGGAAACAGGTCAGGAGGGTGTGATAAGAGAGTGAACTTTCTGAATCATTAATTCAGAGACTGAGAAGTTCTGGGAGATTACAAGTTCCATGTCACATCCATGGGAGTGTGAATTCATAGTTTGTGAATGGAGGTTGCCAGTCATGAGAGCTTAGGAGGAGAAAATACTGAGACTTTAGGATTTTAGATGAAACTTCTGAATTTTTTTTTAATTTATAAAGAAAAGAGTTTATTTGGCTCATGGTTCTGCAGGCTGTGCAACCAGCATAGTGCCAGCATCTGCTTCTAGTGAGGGCTTCGGGCTGCTTCCATTCATCACAGAGGGTTTTTTTTTTTTTTTTTTGAGACAAAGTCTCACTCTGTTCCCCGATCTAGAGTGCCATGGTGTCAGCCTAGTTCGCAGCAACCTCAAACTCCTGGGCTCAGGCGATCCTCCTTTCTCAGCCTCCCGAGTAGCTAGAACTACAGGCATGCACCACCATATGTGGCTAATTTTTTCTACATATTTTTAGTTGACCAATTGATTTCTTTCTATTTTTAGTAGAGATGGGGTCTCATTCTTGCTCAACCTGATTTCGAACTCCTGACCTTGAACAATTCTCCCACCTTGGCCTCCCAGAGTGCTAGGATTACAGGTGTGAGCCACCATGCCTAGCCTAGATGAAACTTCATAAAAACAGAACAATGGGGAAGAAAGCCAGGTTCTAAAATCTTCAGTGAAAAGGGGGAGGAAGAGTAGATGTTAGCAAAAAGGATGGGTGAGAGAGTGGCATGGACAGACAACTCCCTGGAGCAGGAATTTTTCCCATCAAGATGGAAGATTCATGGTCTAAATGGGCAGTGCTGTGCTGAGTCAGAAGGATGAACCACCTCCTATCATCCTTGCAGCATGTGAATTGAGAAGAAATTAGCACTTCCCCTTGAGAGGCTGAGGGGCAGCATTATTCCCTGGGGTGAGCCAGGGTTCTTTCAAGGCCAGGGAGCAGAGTGAGTGCTCAGTGAAGAACTTGAGAACACATAAACATCTGTTACTTACGGAGCAAGAGTTCCACAGGACAGAATGGAAATCTGGGAGAAATGATATTGGAGAAGGAAGTTGATTCAGGAGAAAGGAAGGGGATATATTCAGGAGGAGTTTAGATCTTCGGTAATGATCAAGGAAAACAGAGATGTGTGTAAGGCGTGGCAAATTTGGCTGGGTAGAAATTTTTAAAAGAATTAGTCTTGTCAGTCTGCTGATGAAAGTCCTGGAGTTAGAAGTAGAGGGCCCTGTGTCTCCTGGGAGTCAGCGTTAGCCTGGTTGGTTACACATCCAAGGGAGTCCTCCTGTCTTGGCTGGGCAGGAGTCGGACAGTGATGGCTCAGGGGTGAATTGCTGGTGAGGCCCTGCAGGGCTACTTAGCAACAGATGCCCAGTGCCAGGGCAGGCCATCTAACTCAGTCAGGCAGTCAGCAACGAAGAATCTGCATCCTCAAATGCATTTCTTTCTCCTAACAGTGTCTGGTTTTGATTTAGCGTGGATCGAGACGTAGGGGACTGCAATCGGAAATTACTGGAGAAATTGTGTCCACAAGGTCTTTCAGCCTTTAATCTGTGCCTTCAGTGTCTGTTTGTCTTGAGGATAAGTGGCATTTTACAGCTGTCAACTTTCCTACATCATCCATCACGGGTAGGTTCACAGTCTTGTTGTTGATGCTCCAAGCAGTCCTTGTGCAGGGACGTATTGGCTAGCCTGGCTACCTCTTTAGCCAGAAACCCCGTAGAAGGCTTCTTTTGAAAGACCCACCTTACCCAGCCTTCTTGATCTACAGGTACTTGATCCGAGCTGGGTCCTCAAAGCTGGAAGCACAACAGTGGATGCTTTTCTAGTGTATCTCTCAAGTTCTCGTTTGTATCCTTTTGGGCCCCCCTTGAAGGCACACAAACATCTGCATTCCCTACACTATGGAGGCAACACAATGCTTTAAAGCCTCTCAGAAAACCTACAGGACAGTTAATATGATTTAAGCCTATATTTAAATTTTATGAGACTCATTTTCAAGGCTAATAACCCAGTTTACTGTGCACAATATCAAATGCAAATTTTATTACTGACTTGGTAAAAACCAAGACGATCATCATTAGCATATCTCCCTGCATCACCCTTTTTAGCCAAAAGGTGCACCAGGAGTAACAGTGGGGGTTTTTATATGTGTTGTAAATTACAGTTACTATCTCATTAGATAAACACATTTAAAATCAGGTTATCATTCACTTATATATCAGAAAGTTGTTTGTTCAATTGCAGCTAGTCTCATATTCTAACATATGGTGCATGAAATTCTTAGACTAATAAAATTTCAAGGTACAGGGAGCTGGTGTCTTGGAAAAAACTGTTTCTGCTCCACGAATGGCTCGATATAATCTGTAATTGCTTTGAAACAATTATGCAGCAGGCTGTTTTGTACTTAATAGTATTTACATCCTTGGTTTTATTAGCAACAAAATGTGAGTGGAACTTGTGAAAAAGAAATTAATTTTTCCACTAAAAGATGTAAACTTTTAAATAGAGGCTCCAGCAGATTGAGGAAACTACAAACATGGGGATCAGTCAGATCCGGATTTCTTCATTTTCTTTTTATTGTGACACTTCTCATTTCTCGTTCGCACACCAGACCATTTATGTAATTATATATACTAAAAAAACCCACCTCCCTACCTCCAGGCTTCTAGCTTGAACTTTATTTTTAAAGATATGTTGCTTTCTACAGCGTATAATGTGCCATGCATATTGTCAAAACTGGATTGGCATTGGAATGCTTACTGCAGGAGGATTTTGTATACCTTTCTCAAAGGAGAAAACATTGGGTAATGTCTAAATGTAGATATTCTCCTATATAAACTCAACTTCCATCTCAAAACAAGCAAATATCCTAATATTCTTTGAACCTATAAAGTTCGTATCATGGACAATACATAAAGATAATATCTTCTTGTTAAATCATTTCCATGAAGTTCATACGAGTCTCGTAACTATTTTGGCAATGCTGGGCATTAGAAAGAGCTATGAACTTCAGCTCATTCATCTGTAAAATGAGGACATATACACTAACCTCAGTGAGTTTGTGTGAGAATTCAACTGACTGCAGTTAAAATAAAAGAGCTTTCAAGTGCTAAAGCAGTACACAAATGTTAGTCATCACAAATGAGTCCTGACTAGGTTTGTTTGAAGTAAAGTACAGTCTTAATAAGTAAACGCAGTACTTAACACATGGTTCTATTTCACTTGGTCTTTGTAGGAGATTTTTATCTTTGTCACATGTTCCATTTCTAGGCATTTACTGATAGGAACCCAGGTTCCATTTTTACTTACCCATTTATATTACAAATTTGGTTAAATGATACATTCTCTAACATGTTAGCATTTATACTGAAATAGAAAATAAAATTATTTTAATAACATTTTTTCGCATGTATATAGTACATGTTCATTTTGGGAAATAGGCAGAAGAAACTCATTCATAAATTTGATACATTTTCTTTCTTAATATATATATAAATATATCAGTTGGACATATATAAAACATATATGTTCATGTTTTAGATGATTAAAATCACATAATTATATAGCTTGACTTTTCACTTAATATTATATAATGAACATTATGATATGCTATCTGGAAGTTGTTTGGAGAGATTAGTTTTAATAACTGCATACAAAGAATAAAATACAAAAACTTGTCACAAATGAGAAGGTTTTAATATTGGAAATTTATCATGAAAAATTTAAAAAATCCAGAAAACAGAAAGAATAGTACAATGAACACCAATGTACCTGCCACTCAGCTTCATCAGTTGGCCTAATCTGAGAGCTCTCTTGTTGTATGCATACATACAGCTTTCTGTGAAGCCACTGTGAAGTCAGAGAACATTTTCCAAAATGCACACTCTAACGGCAAGACAATTATCTCATATGTTTGTTTAAAAAATAATCCAATCACATTTGGACTGGATTATTCCAGTCTCCATTCCACCCCTTCCCCCTCCCACCACACTGGGGGACCAAGAGCTCTTTTGTAGAAAATACAGCTCTTCTGTTACTCCTGACCTGAGACCAGACCACCTCTACCCAGGAAGATGTCTCTTCAGTTGGTCATATGGTTTTCTGAGGACCTAACTTGGAGGGTGATGAATAGAGAGACACACTTAATGAGCCTGCAGAATTAATCGAATCCATCTTGCCTGTCCATAGGATGGACCACAGGTGTGGCTACAAAGCCTTATCATGCTTTGCATATGTGGGAAGACTTGAGGTTCTTGGTTTTAATTTTATCACTTTCACAGAGTACTTGTTCCACCAGGGCTGAATTTTTCAACTTGAAATGATATTGAAGAAAATTACTTAGAAACTTGGATAGAAGTATTTCATTGCCCAAAAACATCTAGTCAAAACCAAAAATGTTTAAACGTTTATCTGAATTTTAATGTTAAAAACAGAGAATTCTGTTGATCACAGGTTATGCAAAGATATACATCACCTCATTCTTAATGAATAAATCAATTTTATTTTTCTAATTGTAATGTCAGTCACTATTTAAAACAGCAAACAATGGCTAAATGGCAAGTAAAAGTAACGTTAAGGGGCACTAAAGAGCCCCAAAGGTAACTGAAGACTTATTTCTAGACATCTATTTTTGTTCTAGGTATATGTTTTCCATGTCTTTTAGAAGAATTTGTGCTTTGAATTTTTTAAAAATGATAAGTCTGTTTCCTCCTAACTCAGGTCTCCTACGTATCTGTGTTGCTCCTTGATTGTAACTTAAACATCTTTAAAAGTTTTACTGATTCCTTAATGCCACAAAGCTATCACCTGGTATATTGCTACTTATAATCTGCCACAAACCACCTATATGTCTATATATGAAAACAACTGTCAATCACTTCATGACCTGGAAAACTTAGAGCAATTTCCAAAGGAAAGCAACAGTTGCCTTGAAGTTACTGCTCAATCTCCTTTGGGTAGCTCTTCCCTTTAGGAAGGGAAGAGGTGTAGAATTCCCTGTCATGTCAGTAAACACTAACCTTCCAGAGGAGGGTGGTCAGCTCCCTGGCCAGCATGGTCACGTTACTATTGTGATCTGAGCAAGTTGTAATGTTGGTTTGTGCACGTATATCTGTGTGTGTGTATATGTGTATATGTGTGTATATGTGTATGTGTATGTTCATATTTTTGGCTAGAAGCCAGAAGATCTGGCTTAGGTGTAAATAAATACAATGCTTATACATATATATATATATATATATAGAAAGTTATATATGTGTATAAAATATACACAATTGTATATAATATACAAAATTTTCATATGTACAATTTTTGTACACATAATTTTAATACAATTTTGTATACAATTTTCACACACATGTTTGTACATGTATAATATAATATACTTGACAGAAGGAATTTTTATTCTCCTTTTTTTCTCATATTTGATGGAAAAAGAAGAGAAAATTGTCTGAACCAGATATTCTGATACTTGAGCTTATCTGTAATGGCGAATTCCTCTTCCAGATGGTCTGTCTCCTGGTAGGTTTCCTGTGACTCAGTGATGCTACACAGCCAGGACCTCTGAGCCCCCCAACCCAGTTCTTTGTCGGTTTTCAGGAAGAAGCTTCAGTCCCTGCTTCTAGCCTGCGGTGGACCTTTCTGATCCCCACACAACATGGAGGCTCTTTCCAAGAGGAGGCTGCCATCCCTCCTTCCTTCAGTCCTGGTTTTGAGATCTTAGTGTTTTCTGCTTTCTATCTTTACATTATTCCTCTTTATATTGTTCTTTGAATTTACTGTCTGTAATCTCAACACTTTTTGTTCTTCTCTTTTAAAAACAGTTCTTTGATCTTCTTAATTCTTAGAGAATTATAATTTTTATCCCTTCACAATCAGTACTTAATTTTGATCTTTACCTTTAATCTCATTTACTTTATATTTTCATTGCATCTTGGTCCTTTGGCTTACATCTTTCATCATTTTATACTTTTAAACCTTTTATCTCATTGGCTTTTTATATTTGTTTTTAAATCTTATCCATTTTTTTCTCATTTTTAAGCTCAACTTTTATCTTAGAAAGACTTGAACAAAAAATACCTTTATCGTTTCTCATTTTACTATTTGTTTTTATAGAGACAGAAAAGAGGTATAGCTATGGGGATTTCAGAAGTGGAAAACATCATTTACCAAATGGGAGAAGCTGTGACCTCCCCTCAGGATGCCCCTGCAACCGGCCACTTAGCCAGCAGAGGCTGGCTGTCAGCCTGGGAGACACCTGTAGATTTCCCCTGGACCTAATCCAGCCCACCATCTATTTTTGTAAGGAAAGTTGTTGGAACACAGCTATGCCCATTCATTTACCTATTCCCTATGTCAACTTTCATGCTACAATAACAATGTTGAGTATTGGAGAGGGATAACCAGATAGTTTAATATTAAGGTTGGTAAATTTTTTGTATAAATGCCTAGATAATATTTTGCCCACAGAGCAAGATGTGGGGCAAGTACTCTTTTTCTGCATAACAAATTCTTGTTCATTTTTAACTTTTTAAAAATACTTATAAAGAATACCTTTCTATACTTACAAAGTTAACTTTAATTTTTAATATACATACAGAAAATACATTACTGTATGCGAACTGATC